GAAGGCAATGACACAGGAATTAAAATTAAACTAACATTTTCACGAGGCAGCCTGAAGAGATTTAAACTGAAAGAAAATACAGAAAAAATACTGCAGAAAGCAAGAGGACATAAAATCAGAAAAAAATTCCTTATACACAGTCAGTTTATATTGAATGCGGATAAACTGTGAGAAAATCTTTCTTGCTGCTGTTGTTATCATCTTCCTCCTCTCCACTTGTAGAGCAAACTGTTTTTATTTTTTTTTTATTTTACATTTCCTGGGCCTCGATGGTAGACAAGTCGTTAGTATTTTTTTATCAAGCGTATTACGATTTTAGTTTCGATATCCATTTTGAAATAGAACGTTTATGGAAATCATGGCTAGCAAAGCATACAAAAATACTGATGATAAATGATATTCGCCAGCTATCTTGGATGATGTCAAATTCGGTTTACCAAGGCTGTGTCTTGCTAACATAATTAGGATTCTACTTCTAAACTTGATTATGCGCTGTTAGGTTTTATTTTTGGTTAATTATACATAAATGCTGCAGTAAATAACTGGATTACCTAAATTGAAAAACAAAATGAATTCTACTTTGGTCTAATAGCAATCAGGATCGCTGTGTTCAGGTTCATATTATGGATACATACATCCGGGTTAGAGGCTTACGTCGACAACATTGGAATTGCCGTTGTCCAGACACGTGACACACAGCAGATCTGAAAGAAGAAAGATCAGTTAATTAAATGACCATATGTCAGAGTTTTACTCAACCGATACCGATTTCAATTACTTTCTTTCATTTCAAATGCTAGTTTGACTTGAATGAAGAACATAATATCAGATGTGGAACAGGGTTCCGACACTCCATCACGATCTGATCTGACATCCCGTTTGACCCCGAGAGGAAGTTGCTCGCAGAGGGCAAATCTATACTAATATGAAATTATCCATAGCATAGCATAGTATATAATATATACAAAGTATAGCATCGCAGAACTAAGGGTTATTTCAAACTTCTTATGAACCCTAAATCTAACATTAAACCAATATAAATTTGAATCAAATTAGTTTGTTTTCACTGATTTACAGACTATTACTAGAAGATTTATTCGAGTTGATTACCAGTCAATTGAAGGTACTTTGATAAAATATGCAAGTGGTATTTAAAATGAGCTTGGCGAACAATAAGTGCAATCCTTAACGAAGTCTAAGTAAACCATACCTACCATGTATTTTTATCAGTATACGTCTTTTCAATTCATTTTTTTATTTCTTTATATTTATATATTTTTTCTTGTTATCATGAATTTTAAATTTTTTTATCCCAATTATCGACTATTTAAAATATTAATCAGCTTTGATTCAGACGTGTTTTAAATCACAGTTAAGGTGCTGTTTTTTTAAACACTAGTTTTAAGGGTTGTATTTTTGGTTTTATATTTTTAGTGCAGTCTAAATGGCATGGTTTCTGTCCTTTTATTTTAAACATTTTCAAACCATTTCATTTTTGTAATCAACAATGTATCGTTGAAGCTTTTAAATTCTGGTTTTACTTCAAATATTTACATTGTTTTACACCATTTTAATCTGTAACAGCTTTGCTTGTATTTTAAACTTTATTGTACTTATTTTAAATGTATAGTTTAGGAGTGATTCAAATCAAATCAAATGCTTTTATTTCCATACAATTAAAGTAATACAATATACGTAAGAAATGCAGAAGTTGTAACAAATATATTGTATCGAAGGAGGCTACAATAAGTTCTGCAAGAAGAATTGACAGAGCTTTATGGCGCAGCCACCTTTTCCAAATATTGAGACTTGACTGGTACCATTTACTTACATTTTATCTAAACTAATAGAATGAGAGAAATGATATACCAATAAAATTATAATAATTCCAATCCAGTTTTATATACGTTTTTAGAAAATACAAGACCAGACACATTATTTTTAAGACTCAAATAGAAATAACTTTTAATTATAACTCCTATTTTTGTTATATTGTCTTTGTAATTTTCATTGGACTGCTTTTTTTTTTTTAGGTCTGTGGATTGTATAGATTTATTGTGATGCACCACACTGCGTGTGCTACTGACGAAAAAGTGTAGATTTCAAATAAATGTATTATTATTATTATTATTATTATTATTATTATTATTATTATTATTATTATTATTATCATATATCATTTATTAGTAGTATAATTATTGCTATTATTCATTTGATCATAATGCTTAATAAGGATTACGTGGTTTAGATACATTTTTAATTATTTGATAGAGTAACTTGAATAAGATAAAGACTACGATTAGGCATAGATTTCCCAGTTGTACTAACTTTAAGCAACAAGTATAGTAACCATATTCTACGGTGACCGAAATACACACAGATTTTTAAAAGCGTATCTGTACACATTTGCTATAATGTAATCTGAATCCAGTATGATGCATTGTTGTATCTAAACATGCATCCTATTTCTAGTATTCTAACTACCCACAGCATAAACATGGTTTGTTTCACTTATTTATAATATAAAATTACACCATTTGCATAATTTTACCTAAGGTTATGTATTTATAATAGGCATATAATGATACGTATTCTTGAAGAAGCATAACTGTTTTTGTTTAAATGTGACATGAAATATAAATATCGTATATTAGATTTGATTTAGAGCATAGGCTATTATTTTTGCATTCAAAAAAGTAATGCAAATCAGTCATTTAAACGACATCGAATGCAATATCAGTAAATAGAACAACAACAGATGGCTATGCATTTAAGATAGAACAATGCTAATTTGACTAGGAATACAAAGCGGATCTAGCGTATCTCATTATATTATATATCATCA